CTCATACGAAGTTAAGTTGATTTGTCAGATTTAAACAAGTATGGGTGCATTATATAGACCTTGTATTCCATAGATGATTCGACCAATGAGCGTGTTGTTGCGGATAAATCAACAACTACTACGATATAACGTATTCACAAGGTGACGTCACCACCTAGCTACGTGGGTGGTCCAACTCGAAAACTTAATAGCACTATATTGCACCATCTATTTTGATTGTTATGGTGCACTTAACTCACTAAAGCTTGTGTGGCCTTGAAAAAGGCCGATTATTGGAGAAGAAGGGGGAAGGATGTGGTTTATTTCTTTTTCGTAAAGAACTTTACTAATTAAGCATATCTTCTTCTCCATATGTCGTTCCGAATTCCAAATCCTCAAAGACCTGGTCAAACAGACGGATTCTCATAAAATAACCCCTGCCACTAATAATTGCCTCGGCAATTAGGTACCAGAGTACCTCAATCCTCCTTTCCGTCGGTCTCATATACCTGGAAATCCTCCGATTCAAAAAGCCATGCTGGAACCAGCATGACTCGTATGTTGAATCAAATTCTTCCAGCATACTCAAATTCGACAAGTCGTCTTCCTCGGTAAATCTCAATTCAAAAGTGAACGACATTGCTGATGTTGTCTTGCTCAGTAACAGTTGCGGACTAAACAGTTTGGAAGTTTTGGGGGTTCACATTCGAGATCTGGTGGGGATGAAATGAGTGATGGAGAATGAATTGTTTGTAGCAGGTGCTGTTAGCTATTTATCAGCTCTAGTCCCTACATATGTGTGTCAACAGATGCAGTCTATAAGTCACGTTTGACGAAGTGTGCGGGAAGTAAACAACCCAATATTGGTAAGAAACCTTGTACCATTGTTTTATTTTAGTTTTTATTTGAGCTGTAGTTGTACTGACGTTTTCCAGTAATGTAACTGCATTTTATGGAAATAACAATTCTTGATTCTTGATTCTTGAAAAGAGGGAGACCTGTGGTATATCCATATTTATGCGTGGTCTAGATGTAATCATTTAATCACATCTGATAGGAAGGTAACCATGAAAACAGATTACCGTTAATTACTCATTACCGAAAAAAAAACATTATGGTGACATCAATACTGTTGGCCCGAAAGTAGTGATTTACCAAATAACCTCACTGTTAGTTCCAAAATAATAATTACGAGATGTTGGACCGTCGAATAGTGTGTACGGGAATCGAATAGTCCATTAAAACTATATATAATTATATCAATATTTCTGTTCCCAATTCAAGCATAGTTTAAGCAGCTCAAAATTTATAGTAAATAAAAAGCTGCCAATATGAATTAAAACATGTTTTCACTGTTATTTTCCCATAATTTCCTCAAAAGGTCGAGTAGTAGTAAAATAATTGTCATAAGCTTTCTTTTGAAGATTCGTGAGCTTCGATTCGTATACAGCAATGGTTATAGAATCTCACTTATCTTACTAATATTATAAATGTGAAAGTTTGTGTGTTTGTTTGTTTGAGGTTCAATCACGCATTATCTACTGGACGGATTGGGCTGAAATTTGGCATGATGATAGTTCACATTCCCGATTAACATATAGGCATATTCTTATCTCAAAAATCTTTTCAGCTCCGCCCCAGTGGCTCTGTAGTTCGTCATGTTATCCTTATGAGTATTCATATTTAAAGGAAATTAAAGAATTTAGTCACCTGTTTCAACTAAAAAGTTGATTCTATGATATGCAAAAGCATTAAAAGTTTATAAGATTTACAAACAGAGTGCAGCACTATATATTTTTTTGCATTTATAAAAACAGCTAATTTGAACTAAGCAGCAAAAAAAAAAAACAAAAAAAAACTGTAATACACAATGAAAACTAACTGTCAAAGTAGGAAGTTATGTTTATGTTTTTAATTTAATGAATAATTTGTGATATCTTGCGAATTTTTTAATATTTATTTTTCTCTATTGTTTAGGTGAAGTGGTAGAACATTATGGCTATGGTAGATGTGTAATACTATAGAATACTGTAAATTTAAAGAAGCAAATTTTGTCAAACTGTGTCCTCCCTCATTGCAAACGCAAAGCTTGAGTTTAACTGCAATAAGCATTTTATACTTATATGCCAACCCCGTACGAAGGACGGGTACTCTGCTAGTTTCCTATAATTAATACAAAATCACACATAGTTCTATTGAATATTTTTGTAATCAACCAGCTGTTAGTTATAACAAATTATATTGCACTAAAACAAGCTAAATATTTTAAAGACTGCTAAAAAAAGTTAGAACATCTAGTATTTTACTATGTATATTTAAATAAACTCTCATCATCTTACCGAATAAATGAACGTATCGATGATTATAGCATTACACATAGTATAAATAAGTTAATTCTACGTATGTCCGTTCATTTTCAATCAAATACTGAATTTGTGTCGAAAACGCTGAATGTTTACAACTGTTAAGTTAAACAAATTGTATTATACCAAAAGATTGTCTAGAATGTTAGCGTCGGCTGCTAGACTTTTTGAAAATTAAAACTTGATGTACAAAACAAACTGAACCCCTAAACTAAAATTATGGTTTCAACATTTCTAGTTTAAAAAAATGATCTTTCTTTCAACACAAAAAATGATGAAAATCCGTAAAGTGGTTGATTTAGAATCGTGAAATAAAAAAAACCCTGTCACGTTTTAATACATGATAATACTTAAAAAAAAAAATAAGGACGGGGACTTACGCCATTTGTACTAATCGATAATTAATTATTACAGAACAAATTAAATTGAAAACAAAAATAACTTGAATCATTACATAGTTAGAAGTGATGTGTATATAGAAAATTATGTACATTGGCATTGTGAGTATGATTTAAATAATTGAGTTTAAAAAATAAACCCAATGATTTGAATCAAGTTAAATATACCGGTGCAGTAATAACCTTATAAATTATTCATAAGCCTTCTTACATATAGTACTTATTCGTTACTTATAAACACTAAATACGTGTAACGCATACTCATTGTATTATGTTTTAACTGAAAAATTATTAATTGTCAACCACGCATTTACAATACAATAAATGGTATTTGCAAATTATGCGTAAACATATTTATTGCTGATTATTAGAGATGTGTATGATATGATGCGCATCAAACAATGCTTAGGGAGTGTCAGACGGGGTTACTCCCCTCATACATGAAATATTATCTTAACAGGTGGTTACAGTCAACACCTGCGCTGGTGGTCCCTCCGACGTTGTATCTCCACTGTCTTCGTCATATCAACATATGTGGTCTGTAGTGGTTGACTAAATCCTCACTGTTAGTTCAAGAGTTGCTCAATAGGTAGCGTTGGGACGTCTCGGTTGGAGCTGATCCAAACGTATCTCACTATTCATTCATCCTTTAGCCAAGAAAGTATCACCACTGCTCGATCAACATGTCGGACCAGGAACCATTATTTACCGACCAGGAGTTAATTGATATTGCCAATACAATTGAGGCAGAATACCTCGAGAATCAGCTTCGAGGTATTAGCGAGCAGGAGCTAATTCATATCGCCAATGCGTTGGAAGCTGAAGATATGAATAAAAAATTTCAAGAGATGACAACTGAGGAGCTCAAGAACCAGCATGATGATGATTCGTGGGAGTTGAATTGTAAATGGTGTGCTCAACCGAGGTGCCCCGAGGAATGGGCACATCTAAATAAATTAATGGCAAAGCTGGTCACAGTGGAATGTCTGCTGCAACAACGGGCTGAAGCGGAAATTGTATTAAATGAAACCTAATTCCTTAGTTTTAAGATTATTTGTATACTATATAAGTTTAGATTTTTGTAAATAAAAAATATAAAAAACAAAAAAAAACAAACAAACAAACCAATAGTTATAACTATTCCATACTATCTCAGCTTAGCTAAGACAGTGATGTAATAGTGTCTGCGATGAACCCTCTCTGTTGATTCCTACGCACTACTCCACGTGTCTAGACATCATAAATTATGTTAAAACATGTGGCGAGGTTGGCGAAGGGAGGGATTGTGGAAGCATCCCCTTTTATCTTTGTGAGAAGTTCACAACACTGGTGGTGAGGGGTACCCTCCGCCACTTACGCCATGTGTATTAATTGGTAATTACACATTGTCGAAAAAAAACAAATCATTACCACCTCGGAGGTGGAGGCGGAGGTGGAGGCGGAGGCGGAGGCGGAGGCGGAGGCGGAGGCGGAGGCAGAGGCGGAGGTTGAGGCGGAGGCGGAGGCATGTGTGAGGCAGAATAGATATTAATTACCTAAAAACACTGCAATTACTCATTACCTTAAAAAAAACTAATTGTAAATACTCATTAACAAAACAACTAATTGTAAATACTCATTAACAAAAAAACTAATTGTAAATACTCATTACCCATTAAAAAAAAACTAATTGTAAATACTCATTACCCATTAAAAAAAACTAATTGTAAATACTCATTACCCATTAAAAAAAAAAACTCATTACCCAAAAAAAAAAAAACTAATTGTAAATACTCATTACAAAAAAAAAACTCATTACCCAAAAAAAAAACTAATTGTAAATACTCATTACAAAAAAAAAACTCATTACAAAAAACTCATTACAAAAAAAACTCATTACAAAAAAAAACTCATTACCCAAAAAAAAAACTCATTACAAAAAAAAACTCATTACCAAAAAAAAACTAATTGTAATTACTCATTGTAATTACTAATTACCGGAGGGGAGGCATGTGTGAACTCGGCTATTACCTACTACTGACAGCATGATGACCAGCTAGGGGAAGATGCCCCGCTACTTGGTCTCTCTGGAAATCAGCGTCCTGGACAGATCTCGAAAGGATGGTGAGTCTGTCCAGATCCGCAAAAGATGAAGGTCGTGGCGCAAAAACCAAACGGGAGCGTTCCTCAGGCTTCAACCCCTGAAGCACAATGTCAATGAGCTCAAGCTCACTGATCCCCAAACGCAAGACCCTTTCCACCGTGCGAATGTCCCCCACGTATGGAAGTGGTGGAGGCAGTGACCTTTGAGGCTCTCGAGCGGGTCGTGGGGGCGTGGATTCTCGAGGCAGAAGGGAGAAGGGAAAATGGCCCCCCTCGGGTGGCAGATGGGACTGGTCGGGGCCGTGGTCGTAACCGCGGGCGGGGCCGGGGCGCTCAGCGACCTGGAGCCCGTGCTCGTGGGCATGGCCTTGGCCCTGGTCGGGACCAGGCAGCCCGGGGTGGGTTCGATCCAATCGAAGCTGCCGCCATCCAGAGGCTGTTCCGTCGCAACAAGAAAAAGGCGATCAATCAGATTCTGATTGAAGGTGACAGTCGATTCTGTACCGTGGATGACGCAGTGGTGGAGGACCATTTCAGAAGGGTTTTCTCGGCTGGTGACTTTCGAGTCGGGCCAACTCCCCAGGTTGTTCGTGACACCATGACTCCTCACGAGCCATGTGACGAAGACCAGGACCTGGTGGGTGAGATAACCCCTTAGGAAGTGTCGGCTAGGCTGGGGCGGGCTTCCAATACTGCACCGGGCCCTGATAGGGTCCCCTATTGGGCACTCAAGAGGGCTGACCCGGGTGGTGTGGTGTTGGCGGCCATCTTCAGCCGATGCCTTGAAGAGAGCCGGACTCCGGCAGAGTGGAAGAACTCCAACACTGTGCTCATCCACAAAAAAGACAACCCCATGGACCTCGACAACTGGAGACCATTGACCCTAGCTTCCTGCATTTCGAAGCTGTACACAGGGCTCCTGGCCTCCAGAATTGGCAAGTGGGCCAGGAATGGCAGGATCTCCTGGCCCCAGAAAGGTTTTATGGAGCACGAGGGGTGCTATGAGCACAACTTCGTGGTCCGATCAGCCATCGATGACGCCAGAAGGGGAGGGAAAAGAGTCGTGCTTGCATGGCTTGACCTCTCCAATGCCTTTGGGTCTGTGCCGCACAGCTACCTCTTGCATGCGCTTCAGATGCATAGGATGCCCCAGAAATTGATTGACGTGGTGAGTGAGCTTTACCACGGGGCAACCAGGAGAGTCCGCACGTCACAAGGCTTTACCGGTCCTATACCAATGGCGGCAGGGGTGAAACAGGGCGATCCGCTCAGCCCTATTCTTTTCAACCTTGCCATTGAGCCAGTGGTCAGTGCAGTACATAGTGCTGCTGAGTCGGACGGGTATCGTCTTGGTGGACGCCACTTCTCTGTCGTGGCCTACGCGGATGATCTGGCACTGATTGCGTCGGGCGAGGAGCAGATGCGCAGGCTCCTGAGGACGGCGGAGGATGTCGCTGCCTGGGCTGGCCTAAGGTTTAACCCCAGGAAGTGCGCAAGCCTCGAGGTGGATTGCCGCAACCGCAGGCGAGTCCTGGCGACCGAGTACGAGATCGGCGGTGCTCCTATGGTGTGTCTGAAAGAGGGCGAGGAGTACCGTCATCTTGGGGTGCCAACAGGCTTCAAAGTAGACCAGACACCAGAACGTGACATTGCCAGAATGGCCGAAGATGTAAAGAAGATTGATGAGAGTCTTCTGGCACCTTGGCAGAAGTTGGAAGCCGTGGGGATGTTTATACTCCCTCGGCTAGACTTCGTCATGAGAGGAGCCAGGGTAGCCAAGACCCCACTGAAGAAACTTGACAATGATGTAAAGAGAATGGTGAAGAAGTGGCTCTACCTTCCACAGCGAGCCAGTTCTGAGGTGGTCTATCTGGGTGTGGCAGATGGAGGGGCCGGAATGTTCCCTCTGGCAGACCTAGTTGACATATCCTCCGTGGCCCATGCCTTCCGCATGGTCACGTGTACTGACCCTGTGGTGAAAGACCTGGCTAGAGCTACTCTTTCGCATGTCGCCAGGAAACGCCTTGGGTGTCCCGTTTCCCTTGACGAGGTTTCCGACTACTTGTCCGGTAGGTTGGACGGTGACTTTGCCAGGGATGGAGGTGACATCGGTTCTCTGTGGACTGATTCGAGGAATGCCGCCGGTAGGCTCCAAAAGAAAATCGGAGTCTACTGGAAGTTCGACCATGACGGGGAGGAGTTCCAAATTCGAATTCCCTCGCCTGACGGCACTTCCGGTCCAGTCATTGTCCCAGAAGACGCAAGGGGCCATCTCTTTTCAAGATTGAAGACTGCCATGAGGCTCAAGTTGAAGAAGACACTCACTAGGAAGCCTGATCAGGGGAAGGTTTTCGACGTGGCTTGCCGATGCCGTGATTCAAATCATTTCATCCAGGCCGGCAAGTTGGGAGTATTTCAAAAGTTCCAAAATCGGAAGATCCAAAGAATATATTGCCGATCGGATGTTCCAAAATCGGAATTTCCAAAGGTTATTTAGCGGGTCGGAAGATCCAAAATCAAAAGATCCAAAGAAAATATTGCCGATCGGAAGTTCCAAAATCGTAAGATCCAAAAGTACAGTCATAACTAGAAGTACAAATTTATTTCTTAAAGTAAACTTATGAAATAGACTGTCCGTTTCACTTTGGAACTTGTGGTATGCCGGGTCGGAAGATCCAAAACTCTAGTAATCAGATCGGAAGTTCCAAAACGCTAGAACTGTTGCGTCTCTCAGATTGAAGGCGTTTAAACACACGTCGTCACCAGCAACGTTATTGGTTATTTGTTTTGTTAATTGATATTTTAATTAATATTTTTGTATTAGTATTTTCAAGTACACACACTTAAATACACACGCATTCATACATACATGTATATATGGGATTTTGTAGGCATGCAGGGCTAGTGTTGGTATTGTTTACTATTTATTTTTAAAAGTAAAATAACGTGTTTATTTTTATTCTTAAAATATGGTTTAAGTATTAACCTTGACAATAACAATAATAAATTATCTGGCAAACGTCTTAAACAAATAATAACTTATTTTTATAGCTTATGACAATTTTTGTTTACTCCGTAAGAGAATCCAGAATAAATCATTTGAAAAATGAAAAGATAATGAATTTGTCGTGGTTTATTTGAGCTGAACTATTAAGTTGTAATAGTGTACTAGTAACCAACGCTAAATATTTGAAGTTGTTTCCGGTTGTTGTAACAAACAGGTAGTTTCAAATTTAATTAAATTGAAATTGTAACGTTAAATTGTATTTAGTTTTCCCCACAACTAGCGAATGTCTGCTGTAACCTAATTCAAGTGAAATGTAATTTTTTCCTTACAAAGAATGTGTTTTATCAGGAAATGTAAAATGTTCAACTGTATATCAAACATTTGCGTCTAATCAAGTTTTGTTGGAGATTCAATTTGTGTACCTAAGTAAAAGGTTTTGTTGTAACAATTTTAAGTCATGTTTGAAAATACTTATTGTTCTGCAAACTATCGCTTAATCGTTGAAGATATGAGAATTGACTTATACGACATAGTTTTTTGGTCTTTATATGTGTAAATAGCTGTTCTGAATTAAACTGTTTAGTCCAGGCGCTGAGGGGGTTTGAGCATGCATAAAAGTGTAACGAAATTTGACTTTTGATTGTTGCTATGGGTACCTAGTAGATGAAGAAAATCGATGTTGTCGCATTTCTAGGTGGTTAATAACATGGGGGGAGGGGGTGAAGTTGGGGGGCCGCCCCGGGGGGCCAACACGCACAAAATAGCTTATATCTCGTGAACCAAAAGTCATATGAATACGTTAGACACGTCAAACTGTGCAGAAAAATGCATTCTACAAATAGATTATGTAGTAGTTTCACGGAAATTGACAAGAAGTTACTAAAAATTATATTTTTTAAATTTACGATAAGTATAATCAGGAGTATAATGGTTTTTGTTGTTGTTTAGAACCATTAATTTTTTAATTGACAACTTTTGAGAGTAGTACACAATAGGTAAATATTACTTCTGTATAATGAAACTATTGCGGTACATAACTTAACAGCTATACAATCTTCAGATCCAATAAACATAACACCAACAAAGGCGCAAAACGCGTCGCGGTCATTGTTCCTGCTGCCGTAACTACTAATGGCGAACACAGTTCAAGCTGATACTTATATTATACTTTTAGAAAGATGGAGATTCTGAGGATTCATTGTCATATATATATATATAAAATAGTATTGAGGGACCATTATGTAGCGGGATATATAGTTTGTAAAAGAAGAGAGTTCAAAATATATTTTGGTGGTGGATCGTTCCATCACCATCTGAAACTGCAATAAATTCCCTACAATTTATACATCTCCGAATCTGAGGTTGGTTATAACAATTTTATGTAGTTTTGAAAAGGTCATAAAAATTATGTTTTCGTAAAAAAATGTTAACATTTCACATTCTGACGTAAATTACTCAGGAAATTTCGATTTTAACTACATTTAACTATACATTTTTAGAAAGAGCTTTTACTCTTAAATTATGCAGTGTAACAAGGCTACAAATACAAGCTAGGAATACAATGGAAACTCCATGTACAGTATCTAAACTTAAATTTATTTCATTACAATGCAAAATTGATGGTAAAAGAAAAGAAACTAAGGGTTCACAATAAAAGTTTACAAAGGGTGGCAAATGAATTTACTAAATTAAGCTTTAGGCTAGGCCTATTACAATAGTTCTAATTTAGGTTGAGGGGTTATATTGCATGGATCTTTATCTCAGGTGGGGTGATCGAGCGGCGTTTGAATTTAATCTTGTGATTATATATAGCCTAATTAAATTTTGTTTTGAAATATAAATTATGTTCGAATTATTTTCTGAAAGGTTAATTAATTTATGTTCTATATAAGCTTCTATTAGTTTCTTGACTTTTAAATTCTGGTACAAAAGTTCAAAAGTTAGGCTTAAAAGTGTTGTAATGGCTTCGATCCAAGGAAAGAAAATGTCTACTGGAGTGATCTCACCAAAATTGATGTCTTCTTCACAGTTAAATTTCTTGATGTTGTAGTTATTAATGTTTGTAACAAGGACGGATCTTCTTTAATCAAATTTCACTAATTTATTCCAAATATATGCACTTTTTAAAAAAATTTTTATTAAAATATGCAGTTTACAATTTATATCTTCATACTAGCTCAGCACTCTTAGAAGTGAGGAAGGTTTGATGCATTGTTGCATTCACATATGTCAATGCTGACTTTATCACGGAAAATTGTAGGCCACTGTTCACACATATATTATAACAATTTTCATTTGCCATAGAGCTAAATTTGAATTTTGACAAGTTATTTAAGTAAAATTATATTGAAATTGAAGCAACTTTGTTACAAAAGGTTATAGGTTATTATATATTTACATGAAATAAGGTTATTTGGAAATGTTCTATATTATAATGTATTGAATCAATTACCTATGGGTCTGTTTGGCCATATATTATACAAGGTTTGATAAAGAGAGATGGATTGACATATTGATAAAAGTTAAAACATATGGTAAAAATTAAATTATTCTATTGAAAATTTTTGTGAAAATACTAAATTGTTACAGCAGTATAATATTTATTTACTGTTGATGCAATAAATTTATTTCTCATACAACAATTAAATACAATTTGGTAATTAAAATAGTTTGGTAGTTTTTTATAATTTTATTTTTATGCGTATTAAAAAAAAACATTGATATTTCTACGTAAGGAATCATATTTTACATAACCTTAACATTTGGATAATATGGATAATAAAAACATTATTTTTATGATTTTTGTGGGTTGATTTAGACATTTCTAAGTTGAATAATCCAAAAATTTGCAAACCTCTTGCTACTACGCCTAAAAGCATTAATGAAAAATATATATTTTTATATTATTATATTCTACATTTGTCACTGAAACATAATATATAATAGATATCTACTTATATGGGCATGTAACTGTTCTCTGGTGAATTATATGGTACCACTACAAAAGGGCCAAAATATAACCACCACTGGTACCCAGCAGATAGGGTCAAGGATTGAGAGATAAGAAGTAAAATTATAATGCTTCGAACTTCACTATAACTTCAGCTGTTCAGGTCAATTTAATTGTTAACGATTGGTGCGATGATTCGTTGCATTACTGTCAGAGACAATGAGGGGTAAAGAAAAAATAACCTCTCTTTTTAAGTTTTGAGTAGTGGTTTTTGGTAATTAAAATACTGTTGCAGGTTAATTAATGCACACAACTCGCGTAAATAGTGTTAACGACACTCGTAGAAGTTTTTAAGGCACTCGCCAAGGCTTGTATTTAACGTTTTCTACTCGTATCGTTTACACTACCTTTACGCGATCGCCGAAACAGCTGTTGCACCAATTGTGCAGCCTGGTCAGGTGACAGAAACGTTCAACTACCAAATTTTTTATAAACTCTCTTCTTTTACAAACTATATTTCCCGCTACATAATAGTCCCTCAATACTATTTTATATATATGAAAATGAATCCTCAGAATCTCCATCGTTCTAAAAGTATAATATAAGTATCAGCTTGAACTGTGTTCGCCATTAGTAGTTACGGCAGCAGGAACAATGACCGCGACGCGTTTTGCGCCTTTGTTTGTGTTATGTTTATTGGATCTGAGGATTGTATAGCTGTGAAGTTACGTACCGCAATAGTTTCATTATACAGAAGTGCTATTTACCTATAGTGTACTACTCTCAAAAGTTGTCAATTAAAAAATTAATGGTTCTAAACAACAACAAAAACCATTATACTCCTGATTATACTTATCGTAAATTTAGAAAATATAATTCTTAGTAACTTCTTGTCAATTTCTGTGAAACTACTACATAATCTATTTGTTGAATGCATTTTTCTGCACAGTTTGACGTGTCTAACGTATTCATATGACTTTTGGTTCACGAGATATAAGCTGTTTTGTGCGCGGCGGCCCCCCGGGGCGGCCCCCCAACTTCACCCCCTCCCCCCATGTTATTAACCACCTAGAAATGCGACAACATCGATTTTCTTTATCTACTAGGTACCCATAGCAACAATCAAAAGTCAAATTTCGTTACACTTTTATGCATGCTCAAACCCCCTCAGCGCCTCGACTAGTTTAAAAAATTGACTACTCGATTCCCGTGCGTTCGACTGACCAACATTTGTACATTAACTCCCTTTACTATTCAAATACTGTTTGCGTAACTGTGATGTATATGGGTTGCGTTCTGAATCACAAGGCACTGTAATTATAGATAGGGCTCAGATTATTAATTGACGAATATTGTGTAAATAAAGCAATTGTTTTAAATCCGCTTATTAAAAGTATGCTATTGTAAACGAATCAATTTAGCATTTAATTTGTTTAAATAATAGTGATATATTGTTATCAAATGCACAACAATTATTTTCAATAAATGTGTTTCCAGTTGGTGTCGTTTGAGTGCACAGGCGTCAACTCAATGTTTCACCCGTATTTAATGGTAGATTGCACAAATTGTAAACACTATTTTTTATAGTTGAAACAAAATATGGACAGGTCTAATTAGTTACATAATTTTTGAAATTAATTATTTCATTATAATAATCTTTCCAGTAAAAGATTTATGCTCCAATAGGACTTATCAGTCTTCGGCTTCAACTAATCAACGAAAAGTCTAGTGTGGTACCGAGAAATAAATTATGCCCCTTACCTATAAAAATAATCGTATTTTGCATGATAAATGTTTAAAAAAACTGGAGTAGGATCTTAAATATTCCTTTTTTCATTGCATACCTTATTCAATGTGTTATTAGTTCTGCGATGAAATTTCTATGGTATTTAATAGAATTATATTTGTATTGTAATAAAACATGTCTGTGTAGTATATTTCTTTAACAATTAAATGTAATTAACCAAACTCAGCAAGGATCAGTCCCCCGTTACTATCTTTTAGTTTAATATTCATTTATCTTTGTTAAATGTATATTATTATCTACAATTTAAAAACATTTATTAGAAATCTAATTGTCTAAATGCAAATTTACTTGCTCTTATTGTCCTGCCATGTAGGTATAAAATGAAAAAATGAAAGTATTGTAGAAGAAGGTTCGTGTAAAGGTAAATTTAATGAAGAATGCGCAGCCCAGTAATTTGTTGATATTGTAAAGAGTGTGATATTTCGTTATAAGTCTCTTTGAACTGTGAAGGATCCAAACAGTAAACAGAAAAGTAAGTGTTACACAGGAATTAGTACTGGAAGGTGCTGAAGACTGTACAGTATTTAGAATCATTTGTGTTCGATAACTAAAGTGAACCTCCACAAAACTACAGTAACGGTAGGCCTACAGTGGTAGACTGTGGAAGTATAGAAAAACTGTAGTTAATTTTTCACAACAAATAAACTTACAAATGTTACCTACAATTAATGTGGATCTTTGGTTTCTAATGACTCAATTTTTTACTTTTATGCCCATAACATTTATTGTACTCCCATTGATTATGGTTGCTAACTATCGCTATATCGTCATATATCGTCATTGGCCGCATTAAAGGTAATACGATAGATGAAATATGAAATATACTTAATTTTGTGACAACTTATTTGCTATAGAACTTTCAATTGCTATATTAATTACTAGCAGAGTACCCGTCCTTCGTATACGGGGTTGGCATATAAGTAAAAAAAATTCTTATTGCAGTTATATTGAACTCAAACTTGGAACTTGCAATGGGGGAGGACACATGTTGATAAAATTTGCTTCTTTAAATTTACAGTATACTATAGTATTACACACATACCATAGCCATAATATTCCACCACTTCATCTGAACAATAGAGAAAAACAAATGATTAAAAGTTCATAAAATATCAAAAATTATTCATGAAATTAAAAACATAAACACAACTGTAAACAATCCTAGGCTACCTTGACAGTTCTCATGGCATACCACAGTTTGTTGTTGCTGCTTAGTTATAATTAGCTGTTTTCATAAATGCAAAAAAAATATAGTTTTGCACCCTGTTGGTAAATCTTATAACTTTTAATGCTTTTACATAGAACCAACTTTTTTAGTTGAAACAGCTGACTAAATTCTTTTATTCCCTTTAAATATGAATACTCATCATAAAGTTAACATGGGAAACTACAGAGCCACTGGGGTGGAGCCCGAAAGGATTTTTGAGATAAGAATATGCCTATATGTTAATCGGGAATGTGAGTTACCATCATGCCAAATTTCAGCCGGATCCGTCCAGTAGTTTATGCGTGATTGAACTTCAAACAAACAAACACACAAACTTTCACATTTATAATGTTAGTAAGATTTTTGACCCAGTTATAACTAACTGTTAACAAGTGTAATTGATTATTGTTGTAATGGTTGTGGTTACTGTACTAGGATACTAGTAACACTTTTATTACCTTACAAGAAGTGATACTCTCACAGGATTTTTATTCCTTCTTGTTGTTTAAACCCGTTGTTGAGTTATAAGCTCACTAATGACAGCATTAATTATGATACCAAAGAAATTACATTAGTTTCGAAATGGGTTGTGAAAACGATTTTCAAATTTGCGCCACTATTTCTAAAGGAATTGAGATTTTTCCTTAGGGATGTAGCATACGGTATTATAATAATGCAAAGTAAAACCCCCAGATGTAATTAATGTTCTTGGCATTTTGTTATAATGATATGATAAAATATATTTCTGCTACTGTAATTTTCCGATCTTAAATACAAAGTTCAGTGCTCCATTTCGTTCAACAAATATGGTCACTGTTAAGCCATACGGCCAATGATCAATTGTTAAATGTGCAAATTAGTTCTGTAGTGAAATAATTACTTAACGGAGGTATTGTATTGGTAGTCTTCAAACACGTTTGTAGGCTAGAAATAAATGATTTAGAATATTTTAAAGGAAAATCTTTGAACTCTTATTTGATATTGTTGTGCAAGCAAGCAGGCAAGCAAGCAAGCACACATAAAAGCAGACTTTACTCGTATATACGATGACAACTTGTTGAAATTTTGTTAACAACATGTTTTGTATGATCGTCCCAGCTCAGATTAGCATCAATGAAGAGTCCCAGAAATTTTGTAACTTCTACTTGATCTAATTGATTGTCATCTAAATAGATTTCTGGTTTTAGTTTGACCCTTGCTTGTTTCCTACAAAAAGATATGAAAATGGATTTACTTGGATTAAGAAGAAGGTTTTTACCATCAAGGAAGTTTTTAATAATTGAGTGACTAATAAATGATTCAATTTCAATGCCCTCCTTGGAATTCCCTGTCACAGTGATATTAGAGTCATCGGCATATGAACATACGTTACTGTTTACGGATAGTAAGTCAGGTAGCCCTTTTATGTAACAAATAAACAATAAAGGTCCTAAAATTGACCCCTGTGGTACTCCTTGTTTAATTTTTAAATTTTGAGAGTTAAACTTCCGGATATAGTTATAGTGATTTTTTTAATTGTTGAATTTAATGGTGTGCTCAATTTCTACAAATGGCTCCCGATTTCCCAAATATGATTCAAACCACTTAGACTCTTAGCCAGTAATTGCTAAATTAGGCGATGCAATTAATAGTTTTTCACTGTCAAAAGCCCTAGTCAAGTCAAGAAATATACCAACCACTTTTTGCCCTTTGCCTACTGAATCTATTATTGTTTGAATTAATTCTGTACCAGCTGATATGGTGGATTTCCCTTTTTGGAAACCGTGCTGAACGGTACTTTGCGTACTTCCAATTTATAAGAGCAGAGACCATCTTAAATTTTGAATAGTGACGCAAGGTGCGGGCTATGTTAACTGTACAGCGCTTGACTACTACAGCATAAATGCTGGAATTAGGATTTTTCAAAGATATTAAAAGCTGAAAGTCCTGTAAAGAAAACAAACATTTAAAGCACTCTTGTGACATGAATAAAATATATTAAGATGAAACGCTGAGAGTACCTGATTTCCAATTTTAGTGAGTGTAGGTGTTATTGAAGCTGAAGAAGTGCAGCCGTAGAGGTGTGAAGATCCTGTAGATGAGAGAGATGGCAGCATAGGGGAGTTAGGGCCTCACTGCTGGGGGAAGAAGGCGCCTTCTGTAGGGGACGATGAGAGGATGTCGGTCGTATGTAGAGATGATGATGTGCAGAGTTGATGTAGATAAGCATTAGAGAGTAAAAAAGCTATTCTCTAGCATATAAAATTAAATAAAAAATCACTTCCTCTTGAGGTTTTATCACTTTATTCATGTGATATTTGAATTAAAAATAAAAATAAAAATATTTACACTTGGCACTCTTCTTTATGCCTTGCACAAAATAATAAATCTTAAAATTAGCAAATTAAAATGCAAAGTAAAAATGATTTAAGACTTTAAACTGGAGCTTGATGTTTCTTGAAATAACATGAAATTTAACATGAAAAGTGAGAAATAGCTTATAAAAACTGGCGTCTTGATGTATTTAAATTGAGAATTATGCGGTGAACTGGATGAAATAACACTTTGTCAGACGGACGCTGCATAAAGCGAGAACGAGGGTAAATTATAAAACACTGGTAAAGAGACCACGTGCAAGAAATGCGTAATGCAATATTAACCGCGAGTACACGGTAGTTACCACGGTGAAGACATAAGCGGAACTGGATTTTGTCGTTACAAATATCATAGCGTCTCTCCCACTCTTCAATATTTGAAAATCTGACCAATCACGTGAGGCCGTGTTATCACAAAACTGCTCGACAAAGTGCATGTCTGGAAACAGGTGAACATGTCGAATACTGACCATACCGGGCCCCGTGAATCGCACAGAGATTCGCAAAAAAAAAATGAGTTAAAGTTTGTTAAAGCTCCAATTTGATTACAAACAAAATTTAAAACTGTCAAAAATAAACTTAAATCACTTCTTGAAACGAGATAAAAATGATCTTGAGAAATCTGTTCTTCATTTGGGTAAAGGTGACACCTTTACAACCGGACGTTTGAAGACTCCATTGCTGGTCCGCACAGTGACGACTCTAGTCACACCGTCAGTGCCGGGATGAGTAGCGATTATCCTTCCTAGCGGCCAAGACTGAGGAGGTGAGTTGCCGTGGAGTAACACCAAATCGTTGATTTCGAGGTTGGGGTGATGAGTAACCCATTTAGCTCTTTGCTGAAGAGTGTGCAGATATTCTATTTTCCACCGCTTCCAGAGCTGCTGAGTAATAGATTGCACTGCTTGCCACCTTTTCAGACGGTTTAAAGGCAATTCTTCATAATTTAATTCCGGCAGAGCAACCATTGGTCGGCCGATAAGGAAGTGCCCAGGTGTCAACACCTCTATCTCAGATGGGTCGGTTGATAAGGGACAAAGCGGCCTCGAGTTAAGTATCGCTTCGATGCGAGTACACACAGTTTGAAATTCTTCCTGTGTTAATATTCTGTTACCAATAACCTTTTTTAGGTGTGTTTTCATACTCTTCACACCACTCTCCCAAATACCACCTTGATGCGGGGCTGAAGGGGGAATAAAATGAAATTTTATAGAATACTCAGAAGACAGGTCGTGTAACTTGCTCTTAGTCGATTCATTTTGAATTAAAGTTTTTATAACTTTGTTGAGATGATTGGAAGCTCCTACGAAGTTTGTAGCGTTATCAAGGTACAAATCACTTGGTACGCCTCTTCTAGAGATAAAGCGTGTGAGCGCAGCGATGAATGTATCCGTAGATAAATCTGAGACTACCTCGATATGAATTGCCTTAGTGGCGAAGCATACAAATAAACATATGTAGCATTTTACAATCTGGGCTCTTCGTAAGGTGTGAATTTTTACTTCAAACGGTCCCGCGAAGTCTAATCCAGATGTTTTGAAGCAAAACGAAGGGTTAACTCGGGCTTCAGGTAGGTTTCCCATGAGAGGACAAATAGTTCTCGGCTTGTGGCGGAAGCAAATTAGGCATTTATGTACTCGAGAACGAATTAAACTCCTAGCTGCTAATATCCAGTAGTGTTGAGAGATGAGTGACTGAAGAAGCTGAGGTCCAGCGTGTAGGTATTTTAAGTGAAAATAATCCACTATCAATGAAGAAATCTTATGAGATTTAGGAAGTAGAATCGGGTGTTTGGCGTTATAGCTTAATTTTGCGTTTTTAAGCCTACCTCCCACTCTTATCAAATCACTTTCATCTAAGAAAGGCGAGAGATGTTTCAGTTTATTAGAACACATTTTATTGTTCTTTAAACTTTCTATTTCAGAGTTAAGATCATTGATTTGAACTATTCTGCATATTTTAATTACAGAATTTTGAAGCTCATATGAAGACAGATTTTCGCTTAGTTTGGAAGCTGGATGTCGTGCATTGTGTATAAAGCGAAGAACAAAGGCGATTACACGCACAAGTTTACTCCAGGAGGAATATTTAGACAAAAAATCTTGGACAAGTTTACAATGTAAGGAAGTAACAAGTGTATTGTTATGTGTTATTTTGAGCTCAGGAATTTCTGAGGGATCGATTTCTTTATTCAGAGTTGTAGGCCAGTTATCTTGATCTGATAAGAGCCATTGCGGTCCTGACCACCAGAGTTTGTGAGAAATAATATCCTGCGGAAATATTCCGCGAGAAGCACAATCAGCTGGGTTCTGGTTAGATGAGACGTGTGACCAAGCTGTAGCGGGAATCCATTCTTGTATTTGAGATACTCTATTGGCTACATACGTTTTTAACTTGTATGGTTGGGTACAAATCCAATTTAAAGTTACAGTAGAATCCGTCCAGGCGTGAATGGAAGTAAGTGGCACTTGTTTGGATAAGAAATTATTTGAACAAAAATGCATTAATTGGGCGAGTAAATGCGCCCCGCACAATTCGAGTCTGGGAAGAGAAATACGCTTAAGAGGTGCTACTCTGGTTTTGGCGACAATTAGTGAAATATACGTGTTATGGTCGGAGTCAGTAACACGTAAATAAACACAGGCTGAGAAAGCAAGCTCACTGGCATCGCAAAACCCGTGCAATTGTATGTCACTTGAATTGGACATTCTAAAATGTCGAGGCAACATTATATTTTCAAGTAAATATAACTGTTCTGTAAACAACTTCCATTGCCGCAATAGGTCGGAGGGGAGGGGGGTGTCCCATTGAAGTCCTCTTGTCCACAATGTTTGGATAAATATTTTTGCCCATATCACCACAGGAGATAAGAATCCGCACGGGTCAAATATCTTCGCAATGTCAGATAACACAATTCGTTTTGTATACGTTTCAGATTGAGAAATATTTATTTTATAAGTAAAACAATCAGAGCTTGAAATCCACTGTAATCCTAAGATGCTAATCAGTGGTTGGTCTGGGGTGCGAAAAACTACAGGTTTTTCATGAAACTCGCTTGGAATGTCCTTGAGTAGAGCATCATGATTTGCTGTCCATTTTCGTAATTGAAAACCACCTTTAGCGAGAATTGATTTTATATCATTTTGAAGGAGCAAGGCATCTTCTATTGTGTCAGCGCCGAGGGCGACGTCATCTACATAAATGTGATTCCTTAAAACCTGAGAAGAGGCAGGGAAATTAACTTCCTCATCTTGAGTTAATTGTAAAATTACCCTATTAGCTAAGTAGGGACTACTTGACATACCGTAGGTGACAGTATTTAGCTGATAAATAGAAAGCTTCTTTTGTGGATCGTCTCTCCAATAGATAAACTGATAACGGCGGTCGTCCTTGTCGAGTTCGATTGAACGAAACATCTGTTTTACATCAGTAGTGAATACATATTTATAACGCCTGAAATTCGTTATAATTGTAGCTATGTCATTATGCAGTTTTGGGCCTACATGAATAATGTCATTAAGTGATAAACCAGTCGTTGTTTTTGCACTTGCATCAAAAACCACTCTTAAGCGAGTACTGGAACTGGAAGCTTTAAAAACACCGTGGTGCGGTAAAAAATAATGCGGCTTGTCAGGAATAGAATCTGTAAACAATGACATGTGGCCTGTACTATCATAATCACTCATAAAATCAGAATACAATTGCTTAAACTCAGGTTGAGTATTAAGTTTACGCTCAAGCGATAAAAAACGCCTTTTAGCATTGAAAGATGAGTCCCCTAACTTTGCGGGATTTTCCTTGAACGGAAGTTTGACAGAATATTTTCCTGTCTCAGGGTTGCGGCAGTAAGTTTCAGAAAAGTGTTGTTCACATTTAATATCTTCCTCTGTGAGTTTAGAGGGTGCGGGAGGCTGTTCCAAAGACCAAAAATTAGAAATCAGTTTACTTAAATTATCCTCTTGCAGGCAATGAAGTATAATGTGATTAACAGCTAGCGTGTTTTTACAGTCCGTGGATACAGGAGTTTTGCCGATAACAATAAAACCAAATTCAGTGTCCAGAGCATGAGGCATGTTCTCACCTAAGCTATATTTATTCGGCTTTATTATTTCCATGAAAAGGTCAGCTCCAATGAGCATTTGAATAGGACCGCTCTTATAGAAGTGAGGGTCAGCGAGTTTGAAATTAGCCACACTTTTAATAACATTGTCGTTAATAAGTGCTGAAGGCATGTCTGAGGTTATCTTACTCAAAACTAACACTGGATGGTTAGTAGAAACTTGTTTGTTATCAAGCGTGAGAATATTTACATTTGTTACACCTTTTGTGCTAACAGGAGTAGCGGAAATACCATTTACTTGGCAGGATTGTTTAGAATGCTTTAGCTTTAGCTGCAATTTATTCACAATGTCCGTGTTAATAAATGTACAAGTGGAAGCACTGTCCACAAGTGCTCTAACAACCATTGTGTTTCCTTCAGTAGAAGTCAGTTTCACGAGCGCAGTGCCCAAAAGTGTAGTAAACAATTCATTGTTACTATTTGCGGTGCAGACGGTTTGCGAGTCATTGTTGCCGTCAGCTGATAGTGGAGAGAGGTGAGGGGGGAAGCCGGAACTGGTTTTATTCCTAGTTTTGCGAATACTGTCCGCTTCGTTATCTTTGTAGATTGCTACAGTCTGTCTACTGTTTGATGGAACAGGTTTATACTCAATGCTAGTAGCGTTTTGGAAATTCCGACCCGACATACGATCGCAAGATCCAAAGTGAAAAGGACAGCCTATTTCATAAGTTTACTTTAAGAAATAAATTTGTACTTCTAGTTATGACTGTACTTTTGGATCTTACGATTTTGGAACTTCCGATCGGCAATATTTTCTTTGGATCTTTTGATTTTGGATCTTCCGACCCGCTAAATAACCTTTGGAACTTCCGATTTTGGAACATCCGATCGGCAATATAAACGTTGGATCTTTCGATTTTGGAACTTCCGATCGGCAATATATTCTTTGGATCTTCCGATTTTGGAACTTTTGAAGACCATCCGGCAAGTTCACTCGATTTGCCGATTGGCGTTTCATTTTCAAGGCTCGCCTCGGCACCGTCCCTCTCCCAGGCGCGGTGGTGAGCAGGCAGAAACTCTGCCTCATGTGCTAAACCACTGCCAGCCGACCAGTGAGGGCTGGAGAAAGCGCCATGATGCAGTACTCCATCGCTTAGCCGAATCAATCCCGGAAAGGACCGGAACCACCAGGGTTGACCTGACCGTTCCCGGTGTCGAGAGTACCTTGAGGCCCGACCTGGTCGTCACGAACGAGCGGGAAAAGCGCATCCACTTGGTGGATGTGGCTATCCCGTTCGAAAACAGGTACGGGGCGCTAGCTGACGCGAGAAGACTAAAAAATTGAGAAATACCGTCAGCTAGCTGATGAACTTCGCCTCAAGGGATACTCTGTCACCCTGGATGGGTTCATCGTGGGTTCCTTGGGATCCTGGGACATGGCGAACGAGCGAGTGTTAAAACTGTTGAACATCTCCTCGCGCTGTGCCCAGGCCATTAGACGCCAGATGGTCTCTGATGTGATCATGTGGTCACGAAACATCTACGTGACTCATATCACAGGCCATCGGCAATGGTAGGGAACCCCCATCAGTGGTATCGAACGCATGGCCCTTTGTTGTTTAAATAGGAAAAAAATTGTTTATGATTTGATATTGTGATCATGTTGTGAAGTGTTATGTGAAAAAAAAAGAAAAAAAAGTGGAGTGAAGTTCAAGGTTTCATAATTTATTTTTGTGCATTGTTAAATTTAACAAATTTTTATCATTGTTATTTAATTTATAAGTGGCTTGCTGCACCTTTCCTAGATATTTATTTGTACTAGTTTTAGTTAGGGAAATTTAATTTCCAAAATTGTAATCATTTTTTGAATATATCTATTAGTTAAATGTGGAGTGGCGTTCCAAAGTGCAGCAAGCCTGGGCCATGCGTTCAAATTTTATTGTTAGGTTGCCATTAGTTAGGTAGTTTTAAGTTTTTTGAATAGTTAAGCAGTGACAGTGATAAGTTTGTCAACCAAGGATTTAAGGTGGACTGCATCATCGAACAGCATTTGTATTTTGCATGTAAAGTTTAAAAAAAATGAAGCTCATAATGAGCATGTGGACTTATATTGCATGAAGATATTACCTTTGAATTGCATGAAATGTAAAGGGTTGAATTGTATATTATTTAAATATTTTAATAAAAAGTTGTCAATCTGTTCTTATCAGCTTAACATCTGATACGTCCCTCATCGAGGGACCAGTTTGTTAAACTGATTTTTGGATATCGACGGAGTGCTAGGAGCTTGCTCCACCTCTGTCACGGGTTGACCCGGCATTGCAGTACCGTCGGGATTTCCTTTGATCGAGATAGAATTATATAGCCCGATCGGTAAACTGACGGTATTAAACACAATATGTCGTTTTACATTGTAGAAAAGTGGGCGTGGCCTGTTTTGTTTGATTCGACCAATAGGAGAAGAGTTGGGTAGTTCTCGCAAAGTGCATAGTTCAGTCAGACCGAGAGGCGGACGCGACAAACGCGATTCTCCCGTTAACATATTCGACCTGTGCACGACGGACACGATAGCAGTCGTTAAAAAGAACGGCGATTCGACGTGTTACAGATTTTTACACTATCTCGTTATTATCGGTGACGCGACTGCCGGATAGCGGGAGCCAGCGACGAGACCGACGACGAACGAACCCTCTGACGTGGACCTAGTCTCGCGACGCTAGCGCTATAAGCGGCGTGGACAGCGTGGACAGAACTGGCATTAGCACCCGGACTGTTCGGGGCCCGAGTCGGTTCTCGTACGCGTTCGCAGACGAGAGTGTTGAAATAAGTCGATCAACAACACACTCACGTACACATAGTACGGAAACAATTGTTGTTATTCTCTCGTCCTGTCACAGTTGGAAGCCCTTTTTTCAGAATTTTCTACTCCGGTTTGCCGCCGACGGTGTCCGAAGGCCCCGCGATTCCGTGAAAAACTCACACCAACGGGGGTGGTTGCAAAGTGGCGGAGAATTTTGAAAATCCTCGGTCAAGTATCGCTTCTCGGCCTTTTGGCTAAGATCAAAGTGTAGCCAATGTCTTTTTTGAATGCAGTTGTGTGTGTCACGCGTGTTCAGTGCCGTGCCACGAACGTTCTACACCGTGTGCTACACGTGTGAGTGAGCTCGAGTGCGCGTGGTGCCAACGTCGCTGACCGCCACGAGGAGCACTACTGACGTGGACGTGACAAACGTGGGACCAGTGAAGTGACATGTGTGTCGGACCCTAGTGGCGAGTGTAGTTCCCGGGCCGACGTCGACGATGGAGCCAGGTGATCGTCGTGACCACGTGAACTGGCTGCAGGAATGGACTGGTTTGTCGAAACATGTTTCTTGCAAACTATTTTAATTTATTCTACTAAACTGGACTACGTTGTAAATTTTATTTATTGACGAAAGTTATTTATTTATTACATTTTATCATCTGACTATTTATTCTATAGTATTTATTTAATCTACATATATTTGTTCGTTGACATTTTTACTATTGGACTGGAGAGATATTTATTCATCGTTATTTATCCTATAGTATTTATTGCACGTTATTTATTTATTTATTTATTACGAACATGGACATAGTATATTATTTAGTGCCCTTCCCTTTGGACGAGAATGAAGGCCCCCTTAGGTGTGAGGACTGTTTTTGGGTACCCAATAATAGGAAGCAGGGTGTATATGAGTCCCGTAAGAAGTTGGAGCAGCACCTGTGGCGCATCCATAGAAAAAAACCCAAATACCAGTGTCGGGTCTGTGGCGAGCAGAGCCAAATGCTAAGAACAGCACTAAACCATGCTCGTCAGCACGTGGCTCTCCCTGCAGTGCATAAAAGAAGAGGAAGACGACGACAGCAGCGAGACAGTAGCAGCGAGGCAAGTGACACTTCCGACGTGCCAACTCCGCCACGTGGATCGCCAGCGCCTGCCCGTGGAGCCAGACGTCTGCACCATGAGGAGGAGGTTGACGACCAGGGGGAGGCTGCGGCTGTGGAGGATCACGAAGTGATGGGCGACCAAGTGGAGGCTGCTGCTGTTGGTGACCACCAAGAGATGGACGACCAGGTGGAGGCTGCTGCGATTGGGGACCACGTCCGGGACCTGCTGGACTTCACGGAGGAGGTTGCTGACCTGCGTGCTGAGATGGAGCTTGACATCGACGCTTCAAGGGCCGTACTGGAGACATCCGTGGCTGTGGGACCTGCTGCCTCGACACCAGTGCCTAGGCTCCAGGCCGAGCGGCGGGACGAGGTGGACCTCGATGCGACCCTGGCCCGGCTGACGGCTGCTGCAGCACGTGGGGACGGCGACGCCTGGGACGTGGTCCTGAACGAGAGTCTACGGGTGCGGAGACGTCGCAGACGCAACGCTTCGATTGTGAGTGTCACTAGCAATAATGGGGGGCTCAGATAGGGGGGGCATTAGATTTAGACATTGTAAATACCACTGATGGGGGCAGAGATGAGCTTGGGGGTCCGCCCCCTCCCGCGCCGCCGAATGGCCGCCAGGGTCACTGGCTGAGGGAAGTGGTGGAGGCACTTGTGAGGCTTTCGAGCGGGTCGTGGATTCTCGAGGCAGCTCCCAAGAGAAGGGAAAATGGCCCCCCTCGGGTGGCAGATGGGACTGGTCGGGGCCGTGGTCATGGCCGCGGGCGGGGCCGGGGCGCTCAGCGACCTGGAGCCCGTGCTCGTGGGCATGGCCTTGGCCCTGGTCGGGACCAGGCAGCCCGGGGTGGGTTCGATCCAATCGAAGCTGCCGCCAACCAGAGGCTGTTCCGTCGCAACAAGAAAAAGGCGGTCAATCAGATTCTGGGTGGTGACAGTCGATTCTGTACCGTGGATGACGCAGTGGTGGAGGACCATTTCAGAAAGGTTTTCTCGGCGGGTGACTTTCGAGTCGGGCCAACTCCCCAGGTTGTTCGTGACACCATGACTCCTCACGAGCCATGTGACGAAGACCAAGACCTGGTGGGTGAGATAACCCCTGAGGAAGTGTCGGCTAGGCTGGGGAGACCGACGACGAACGAACCCTCTGACGTGGACCTAGTCTCGCGACGCTAGCGCTATAACCGGCGTGGACAGCGTGGACAGAACTGGCATTAGCACCTGGACTGTTCGGGGCCCGAGTCGGTTCTCGTACGCGTTCGCAGACGTTGAAATAAGTCGATCAACAACACACTCACGTACACATAGTAAGGAAATAATTCTTGTTATTCTCTCGTCCTGTCGCAGTTGGAAGCTCTTTTTTCAGTATTTTCTACTCCGGTTTGCCGCCGACGGTGTCCGAAGGCCCCACGATTCCGTGAAAAACTCACACCAACGGGGGTGGTTGCGGGGAATTTTGAAAATCCTCGGTCAAGTATCGCTTCTCGGCCTATTGGCCAAGATCAAAGTGTAGCGCAGGCTCCTGAGGACGGCGGAGGATGTCGCTGCCTGGGCGGGCCTAAGGTTTAACCCCAGGAAGTGCGCAAGCCTCGAGGTGGACTGCCGCAACCGCAGACGAGTCCTGGCGACCGAGTACGAGATCGGCGGTGCTCCTATGGTGTGTCTGAAAGAGGGCGAGGAGTACCGTCATCTTGGGGTGCCAACAGGCTTCAAAGTAGACCAGACACCAGAACGTGACATTGCCAGAATGGCCGAAGATGTAAAGAAGATTGATGAGATTCTTCTGGCACCTTGGCAGAAGTTGGAAGCCGTGAGGATGTTTATACTCCCTCGGCTAGACTTCATCATGAGAGGAGCCAGGGTAGCCAAGACCCCACTGAAGAAACTTGACAATGATGTAAAGAGAATGGTGAAGAAGTGGCTCTACCTTCCACAGCGAGCAAGTGCTGAGGTGGTATATCTGGGTGTGGCAGAGGGAGGGGCCGGATTGTTCCCTCTGGCAGACCTAGTTGACATATCCTTCGTGGCCCATGCCTTCCGCATGGTCAAGTGTACTGACCCTGTGGTGAAAGACCTTACGACGTATTTCCGGGTGAGGCGTTCGGAAAATACGCGAGCCCGGTTTTGACCCGGTTGCCGGATAGCTAGTCGCGCTGGGTTGCGGTTCCAGGGGTCGAAATGTCTAACGAATTGACCATTTAAGGGCGGACTAATATTTTGAAAAGAGAACGGATGGCTCAGACAAAGGGTATGAGATATAAAATCTCCAACAATCGAACCCACGTTATCATCATTGCCATATTTGTTCTCTATATGTAAAGAAAGGTGCGCTGCGGGCGAACCACAGTTCGGGACGGATTGCTGTGGGCGAACCACAGTTAGGACGGATCGCTGTGGGCGAACCACAGTTAGGACGGATACGTCGATCTTGGGGAACGGGAAGAAGCTAAGCTGCAAAATATGATTATTTCACACAAACACCTACAATACAGTTAAATAAAAACACGCAAGTATGTAAGCACTAAACCTACACCACCTACCACACAGTTATATAAGACACGCACACACTAGTAATCGCTAAAACTACAATCACCTAAAATAACATTATTCAAGACACACGTATTAGTCACTACTATACTGCAACACCTGAAATATAGTTAGGCATATAAAGCACACAAATATTCGTAACCTATTTACACATGCTGTGGGCGAACCACAGTTAGGGATCGGGGAGTGCTGTGGGCGGACCACAGTTAAGGATAGGTTATTATTGCTAAGAGCTGTGGGCGAACCACAGGGAATTATCGCTAACTACAGCTAATTTCCGTGGGCGAACCACAGGGATTTATCGCTAACTATAACTAAATGCCGTGGGCGAACCACAGGGATTTAACGCTAAGTAAAGCTAAATGCTGTGGGCGAACCACAGGGAATTATCGATAACTATAACTAATTTCCGTGGGCGAACCACAGGAAATTAACGCTAACTAAAGCTAAGTGCTGTGGGCGAACCACAGATAGGATCGGAGGGTGCTGCGGGCGAACCACAGGGAAAGGTAATTATCACTAACTATAACTAATTGCTGTGGGCGAACCACAGGGAATTATCGCTAACTAAAGTTAATTGCTGTGGGCGAACCACAGGGGATTATCGTTAATTACAGCTAAGTGCTGTGGGCGAACCACAGGGAATAATCGCTAGCTAAAGCTAAGTGCTGTGGGCGAACCACAGGGTATTATCGCTAGCTAAAGCTAATTGCTGTGGGCGAACCACAGGGGATTATCGCTGACTACGACTAAATGCTGTGGGCGAACCACAGGGAACTAAAGCTAACTAAAGCTAATTGCCGTGGGCGAACCACAGAGATTAAAGCTAACTATAGCTAAGTGCTGTGGGCGAACCACAGGGAATTATCGCTAGTTAAAGCTAATTGCTGTGGGCGAACCACAGGTAGGATCGGGGGATGCTGCGGGCGAACCACAGTTAAGGATGGTTTACACAGATATTTACACAGATCACACAAATAAGCTAGTATCTCGATTATTCCATTAGATCACACGTCTTGATGTCACACAGTATTTACGTGTTTAAACTACAGATAATTCGTCACACAAACCGTTAGATATCTTCGATTATAATCGTTTAGTTAATAATTTAAAACCACAAAACACACAACACACAGTAAATATGACTACAACAGCTAAATGGTTTCCTCGTATGTGTGAGGATGAGAGATACGGTAAATTCCTTTGAATGTAATTATTGTTTAATCAAGCTCAATAAATAATTACAAGTAAACGTATCGAATTATGTGAGTGACAAAATGTCAATGTATGTCTGCAATGCGATCAATGCTAAATATACTGAACAATTAGCGCAAGTAAGTTTTACGTTAAGCTGACTTTAACAGAATACACAATGAAACTTTATCTTGTACTAGACTTGAACGAACGGTACGACAAATGTCTATTTCAAAGCAAGGTGATGACTACCTTATACAGAGTCGTCGTAATTGGTCCTCGGAGACCCGTGCGTGGTTGACAGTCGTCTGTCTCGTGCCCCCGTAGTGGATATGGTCGACTCCCTGACTCGACTGTCAGGTAACGTGAAGTCTGCTCTCTCTCGTGTCCTGGCCTCCACTGTCTCGAGGAGCTGCGTGTGGTGCAACGGCCGGGGACGACGCTTGTGCGCAGGTCCAGTTGGGCATGCGCAGAGCGCCCGGCGCTGTGCGAATGGAAGCCGCCGACTCAAACGTTGGCGGGATTTACAAATTTACATTTGTGACATTGCATTGGTGCTAAATCGGCTCCTTATACAAAAAATATCATGGCGAAATTTAACATGTTACACCCTCCCCTACCTTTAAGAAACAAAAGAAAACATGAAAAAGAAAAGAGATCTTTCTTACTCATGGGTACACGAATACGTCACTTATCTGATAATAGGATCAAACCTAAACAAGGCGAAGAAGTTGTAGCTTTGACAATAAGAAAAGATTTATCATAACGACATGTTTGGAATCAGGTCTTATTAGGGTTGCCTTAAGCCTTGGGAATAAGGTTTCAAGTCCTTTGCGTGGGCCCTTCCTACGATTCTTCGTTGGTTGTCACGTAACACAAATATGTTCGCACCCTCAGCGGCGTGAATAATGAATGGTCCATCGAATTTGGGGGCTAATTTACCTGAAATACATTTTGCCAATTGCCTTACGTTGCTCAACTTTATAGCGTTGACAGCTTTCACAACTTCTAACATACTTAATCGTATCCATACGTAATCCAGGCCAGAAATAGCTTTGAGCTATCCTTTGGATCGTTTTGTTGCATCCTAAATGTCCCGCAGTGGGTTGGTCGTGACATTCTCTTAGGACTTGGCGTATTTGATCATCAGCAATACACAATTTCCACTGTTTTGTTCGATCTAGATCACCATTCTTCAAGCGGAATTTTCTGTAAAGTTTCCCGTCACGGATCGTGTAGTTCTTATGTCTTGAAGGATTTTTCGTAACAGATTGGAACATTTTGCTGTACCAATCGTTGGGCTGTGGATCCTCCTCGATTTGTTCTCCTTTTTCTACCACACAAGTGCGGAGGTTCTTACATTGTTCGCTTTCATTCACTGGGTGTCTCGACAATGCATCCGCTACTTTGTTTAGTGCTCCTTTTCTATACTGCACTGTAAAGTCATACTGTTGCAGCTCAAGAACCCATCGCGCTAATCTTCCTGAAGGTTTTTCGAGGTTCATTAGCCATTTCAAGGCTTGATGGTCTGTTATTGCTATGAACTTATACCCTTCGATGTAAGGCTTGAATTTCTTTACTGCCCATACTAAGCTCAAACACTCTTTTTCAGTTGTAGTGAACTTTTTCTCATTATCTGAGAGTAATCGACTGGCGTAGGCTATAACTTTTTCGTTTTTCCCAGAGTTTTGTGTCAGAGAAGCTCCTAAGCCATGATTTGAGGCATCTACTTGAATAACAAACGTTTGGTTGAAATCCGGGCATGAAAGAACTGGTGTTTTTGTCAGT